TGCAGCCCGGTAGGGTGATTGCCTATGCGTTTCGGCAGTTGAAGGTTTATGAGAAGAATTAGCATGTGTATGATTCAGATTTGGCAGCCATTATTCATGTTTTGAATACTTGGAGGCACTATCTATACGGTGTTCAATGTGAGGTCTATACTGACCATTGGAGTCTCCAGCATCTGTTCAAGCAGAAGGACCTTAATTTGCAGCAGCTGAGATTGTTAGAGTAGCTTAAAGACTATGATATCACCATATTTTATTATCCGAGCATTGCCAATGTGGTAGCCGATGTATTGAGTAGGAAAGCTGAGAGTATTGGCAGTTTGGCATATTTATCGGTAGCAGAGAGGCAACTAGCCATGGATGTTCAGACCTTAGCCAATCAGTTTGTGAGATTGGATATTTCGAATCCCAACTGTGTTATTGCTTGTGTGGTGTCATAGTCATCGTTGTTGGAGCGTATCAAGGCTCGCCAATTTGATGATCCTCACTTGTTGGTGTTGAAGGATACGGTGTAGAGGGGTGTTGCTAAGGAGGTTGTGATTGGTGATGATGGTGTTATGCGGCTTCAAGGACGGATTTGTGTTCCAAATATTGACAGGTTGAGATATTTGATCCTTGAGGAGGCTCTGAACTCACACTATTCCATTCACCCAGGTGTCACGAAGATGTACCGTGACTTGAAATGATACTATTTGTGGCAGAGAATGAAGAAAGATATTGTTGCTTATGTCTCTCGGTGTTTGATTATCAACAGGTGAAGTATGAGCATAAAAAACTGGGAGGGTTGATTTAGAGATTGGAGATACCAGAATGGAAGTGGGAGCGCATCACTATATATTTTGCGGTAGGCTTACCACAGACCTTAAAGAAATATGACATAGAGTGGGTTATTATGGACCTGTTGACTAAGTCTGCATACTTCATTCCGGTAATGGCTACCTACTCTTCAGAGCGGCTGGCTTAGATTTACATTTCTGAGATTGTTCGCCTTCATGGTGTGCCCATGTCTATTATCTCGGTTCGAGGCACTCAATTCATATCGCAGTTTTGGAGTGCGGTGCAACGAGAGTTAGGCACACAGCTTGAGTTGAGTACAACGTTCTATCCCCAGACAGACGGGCAGTCCAAGCGCACTATTGAGATATTGGAGGATATATTACGTGCTTGTGTCATTGATTTTGGAGGTTCTTGGGATCAGTTTCTTCCATTGGCAGAATTCGCCTACAACAACAACTTCCAGTCGAGTATCCAGATGGCTCCTTATGAGGCCTTATATGGGAGGAGATGGCGTTCTCCGGTTGGTTGGTTTGAACTTGCGGAGTCTAGATTGTTGATCACTGATTTAGTCCATGATTCCTTGGACAAGGTGAAGGTGATCCAGGAGAATCTTCGTACAACACAGTCGAGGCAGAAGAGTTATGCTGACAGGAAGGATCGTGATGTTGTATATATGGTGGGTGAGAAGGTTTTGCTCAGACTTTCACCCATGAAGTGTGTGATGAGGTTTGATAATAAGGGCAAGTTGAGCCCTCAGTATATTGGCCCTTTTGAGGAGGTTAAGAGAGTGGGAGAGATGGCTTACAGACTTGCATTGCCACTTAGTCTTTCAGGTTTTCACCTAGTGTTTCATGTTTCTATGCTCCGAAAGTATTATGGTGACCCGTCACATATTTTAGACTTCAACAGGGTACAACTAGATAGGGATCTGACTTATGATGTGGAGCCGGTGGTCATTTTGGACCGGCAGGTTCGAAAATTGAGGTCCAAGAATATAGCGTCACTGAAAGTTCATTGGAGAGGTCATCCGGTCGAGGAGGCTACTTGGGAGACCGATCGGGAGATGTAGAGCAGATACGCACACCTATTTGAGACTCCAGGTATGATTCTAGACCCGTTTGAGGACGAACGTTTGTTCAAGAGGGGGAGAATGTAACGACCCAGCCAGTCATTTTATGTATTATAATCCTATTCCCCTATTCATTGCTTCTTTTATGTTCATCTGTGGTTATGTGAGTTGCCTGGGTGCTCGAGTTGGTTTTGAGAAGGTCTTGGTGTGAATTGGGACACTTAGTCCCAAGGTTGAAGTCTTAAGTTGAAAGAGTTGATCGGAGTTTGAATTTTGTGTAGATGACTCTAGAATGTTGTTTTGATGGTTCTAATAGCTTCGTATGGCGATTTTGGACTTAGGCGTATATCCGGGTGTTGATTTGGAGGTCCATAGGTTTATTTGATGCTTTTTGGAAAAAGTTGGAAAGTTGAAGGGTTGGAAGGTTGAGAGGTTTGACAGAGAGTTGACTTTATTGATATCGGGTTCGAATTTTAGTTTTGGGAGTTAGAATAGGTCTGACATGTCGTTTGAGACTTTCATGCAAAATTTGAGGTCATTCGGAGTTGATTTGATATGTTCGGCTTGAGTTTTGGAAGTTGAAAGTACATTAGGCTTGAATTGGAGTGCTATTCGTGATTTTTGTGTTGTTTGATGTGATTTGAGGCTTAGAGTAAGTTTGTGTTGTATTTTCGGACTTGTTGGTATATTTGGATGGGGTCCCGGGGATCTAGGGTATGTTTCGTATGGGCTACTGACCATTTCCATCATGCTTGGTACTGTTGTTATGAGGTTCTGGTTTCCTGCTTCGTGATCGCAAAGAGGCTGTCGCGATCGCCGAAGGCATTTTGTTGGCAGGGAGAAATTGTTCATCGCGTTCGCGAGCTGGGTCTTTTGTTCGTGTAGGTTATTTCTGGGGCAGAGAATATTTGTTCTTCGCAATCGCGACGTAGGTCTCACGATCGCGATGACTAATGCCTGGGCAGACTATATAGTAATCTATTTCAACGGTTTGGTTCATTTTAACATATTTTGAGTTGTAGAGCTCGATTTTGGACGATTTTGAAGGGAATTTTCACGTATTTGGGTCGGGGTAAGTGTTGTTGACTCAGATTTTCCCATTATTTATAATTTCATCTTTATTTTTATGATTTAATTGGTGATTTGAATTGGAGAAACTAAAAATTGAAGTAAAAACTTTCCTAAAGTGTAAATTGAGAATTTGAAGGTCGATTTGAAGTCGGAATGGGGTAAAATTGGTATTGTTGGACTCGTAATCGAATGGCTATTCAGAATTTTAATGTTTGGTCGGGTTCCAAGGTGCGGGCTCGGGGTTGGCTTTTTTATTTTGATTAAATATACTAGCTTTATCATTTCGATTCGGTTCCTATGACTTTTATTGACTATATTAATTAATTTGGCTAGATTTGGGTCGTCCAGAGGTTGATACACGCGGAAAGGGCTTGTTAGAGGAGTGATTTAGCTTGTTTGAGGTAAGTATCTTACCTAAATTTGATTGAGGCACTAGTTGCATGAGTTATTTGTGATAGCTATGTGCTGTGGGTTCGAATATGTGTGGGGTTTGAGACTTGTGCAAGCACCGGAGTATTTATCCATGCTCGGGGTAGTGCTTAGGCTATGATATGCCTTAAATTGATTGTTAATCTTTAAGTTATGATGTTTCTTAAATTTGTAACCTTGTTATGAACTATTCGATCCATGTTTGAGGTTACATAGAGGCTAATTTTCTGAATGAATTTGATAATTGCTATTTTTGTGATAAATTGCCAATTTGAGCTATGATAGCACACTTTGCACATGCCTATACTTTAGCATGTAATTATACCAGTCAAGGAGCATGAAATCCGATACCCATTCATCATATACATGTGTTCTTGAATATTTGCTTCTGTGTGGATCTGATTTGGATTGGATGCATGTGACCGCGCCAGGCGGATTATGTTATTATGCCTGTAACCATGTGGGACGGATTGTATTGTTTTGTCTATGACTACGCCGGGCATATTGTGTTGTTATTCCTGTGACCACGCCGGGCGAATTGTGTTGTTATGCCTGTGACCATGCCGGGTGGATATGATATTGAGCCTGTGACCACGTCGGGTTGATAGCACGTTGAATTGGTCGTGCTGCGGTGGATATGGATCCATCCCCCCTAGGGTCGTCCTCTCATGTACCTTCTTGATGGTGTACACGCGGATTTGAGAAAACTGATAAGTGATTTGGTACGGATATGGAACTATTAAGGAAAATCTAGCTAGTGTTTGCTTTGGATTTTGCATTTCATCTTTACGTGCAATTTCCGTGGTTAATTACCTGGTTTATTTGCATATCCTCTTTATATGTTGTATCATTGACTGAGCAGAGAACTTGAGTAATTGTGCACACACATATGGTTCATTCTGTGTTTTATGACTTGATCACATTATTGTTCCGTACTTGTTGAGGTTATGAAACTGTACATGTTATAGCAGGTATCATTTATAATCTTACTTCTTTTACCTCGCCAAGGTTAGTTATGATTCTTGCTGAGTACATTGGGTCGGTTGTACTCATGCTACACTCTACACTCTACACTCAATTGTGCAGATTCAGGTGTCGGACCTAGTCATCATAGCTGAGGCTTGTGACAGAGTTGATCACTGAAAGACGAGGTAGAACTGCATTCTCGACCGCAGTCTTGGCGTCTCTTTTCTTATGTATTGTTGTCTTTAGTTCAGACATTATTGTTATTTAGCTTTTCAGACTTGTATTTTGTTGTAGAGTTCATGACTTTGTATTTACTAGTTCTGGGAGATTTTATCATGTATTGGCATTATTATGTTATATTGAGGTTTCAGACTTGTGTTATTTCTGTATTTTTTGCTATTTTGGTTCTTTATTATTATGTTCGACTTGCCTATCAAGTGTATTAGACGTCATCACGACTGGTTGGGTTTTGAGTCATGACAAGTGGGTTGTCCTTATTTTGTAGTTAACCCAATTAAAAAAGATTCATATCGGTGCAACGTTTACTGTTTTGATTTCTTCAAGACATTAACTGATAATTATATTATTATCACCTACTCTTAAATGTTTCGGAGCAGAATAGAGACAAAATCAATTAGCTATCATGTACAAACGAAAAAAGATATTTGATATATAACGCTACTCGTGAGGCTACAATTCAACTAAGATTCCACGACAATTTGAAACATAAATCAGAGTGTAGTTGAAGCCCTATGCATCTCGTGCCTATAAAATTTAATGCACATGTAAGCTCTTACATCCGAACCTTATCAAATACTACCAACACTACTTATATAAAACCACCTTCCATTTTTCTAAATCGTCTCACACTTAGCTTTCAGTTCTTACCAAAAAAATGGCTTCAAATCCAGCATTAGCAGAGCTAAACTTTGTTTTGATACCTTTACTCTCTGCAAGTCGCATAATACCCATGGTTGACATTGCCAAACTTTTAGCACAGAGAGGTGTGACAGTTACTTTAGTCTTGACACCTCTTAATGCTGCCCCATTTACTGCAGTAATTGATCGCGCCATGGGTTCTGGACTCCTCATTCGGGTACTTGAGCTCCAGTTTCCAGCCAAGGAAGCAGGACTTCCAGAGGGATGTGAAAGCCTGAATCTTCTGCCCTCTATGGCTTTTGTAAGAAATTTCTATAATGCAACTGATATGCTACAAAATGAAGCTGAAAATTTACTTGAAGAGATGAAGCCTAAGCCAAGTTGCATTATTTCCGATACGCTTATTGCTTGGACAGCTGACACAGCCGATAAGTTTCAGATTCCAAGAATTCTTTTTGATGGAATGAGTTGCTTCAGTCAAGTGTGTTTGCATAATTTGTACATCATGAAGGATCAAAACAAAATCCCTGACTCGGGTTCTTTTGTTATTCCTGATTTGCCAGATAAAATTGAGGTCACTAAAGCTCAGCTGCCTGCAGCATTCCATCCAGGAACCATTTCCATACAAGATATTCGTGATAAAATACGAGCAGCTGAAACAAGATCCTATGGGGTTGTCATCAATACTTTCGAGGAGTTAGAAACCGAAAACATAAAGATGGTAGAGTTTGGTGCATTGGACCTTTGTCTCTTTGTAACAATGATAATCAAGACAAAGCTCAGAGAGGGAATAAAGCCTCATTTGACAAAGAAGAATCTTTGACGAAATGGCTTGATTCTTGGCAACCTGAGTCTATTGTGTATGCATGTCTTGGAAGCCTCGGTCGTATTCCAGTTGTACAATTTGTGGAGCTGGCTTTAGGCTTGGAAGCATCAGGTTATCCATTCATTTTAGTGATAAAAGCAGGGGAAGGACAAGAACCAATAGAGGACTTGATATCGAAAAATGGATTTGAGGAAAGAACAAAAGAAAGAGGGCTTTTGATCCGTGGCTGGGCGCCACAAGTACTAATCCTATCACACCCTGCAATTGGAGGGTTCTTGACTCATTGTGGTTGGAATTCGACCCTTGAGGGTATCAGTGCTGGCGTACCGATGATCACATGGCCTTTATTATCAGAGCAATTTTTGAATGAGAGATTCATAGTACATGTCTTGAAGACGGGTGTGAGCGTTGGATGTCAGGAAGTGGTTCATTTTGGTGAGGAAGGGAAGTTTGAGGCCCAAGTGAGTAAGGAAGAAGTAACCAAAGCCATTAAAACAGTGATGGATAAGGAGAAAGAAGGAAAAGAGAGCAGAAAAAGAGCCAGAGAACTTGGAGAAATGGCAAAAAGGGCTGTAGAAAGTGCTGGATCTTCTTATCTCAGTTTGGAACTTTTAATCAAAGAAATACAGGAATTCCAACTTAACAAATCAGCTTAAAATGAGAATGCACAAGTATGCAATGTACTTCTTTGATTAGAAAATTTTATATGCTATGCATTTCTTTGATTAGAAAATTTCGTATGCAATGTACTTCTTGAATTGAAAATGTTATTAGCAATGTACTTCTTTGACTTGAATAGCATTGAGAGGTGTCACGACTAAAGTGAATTTCCTGCCTCGCCGCTTTAACAATTTGGCCATGTCCAACAGTAAGTAAAGGTATGAAGAAAAAGTTAAGCTCTTCTAATCCTGACTCTGAAACCATTTCTGGTAAGCACTGAAAGCTGTAGTATTAGATGATTCGGTTGTAAATCAAGAAAGATGATATAAGTAGTGGTAGTATTTGTTACCAGGGTCAGGGCGGCTCAATAAATTTGATGGCCTAAAGCCAAGCTTTAACGAGATGCCTTAAATTTTTTTTTAAAAAAATTTATTTTTATTTGAAGTCTATTTTTTAATATTTTGATATGTAAAGTTGTAAATAAATTTTTAAAATCTACCCGTTTTTTATTAGGACAATTAAAGAGAGAAAAAAATAATACTCATGTCAAACCTGTACCACAATTTATTCACACATAAAGAATTTAGGGAAAGATGTATATTACCAATTTTTTTCTGAAACAGTAAATCAATCACAAATTAAAATATTACTATCTTTTTTAATTTATATAGTAAAGAACCTTTCTACCTAAAATACTTAATACAACTTTACCCAAGTATCCTACTGTGGGTAAAATTTTGGGGCCCCTAAAAGGGTGAGAAGTAAAGGAAACGTTTTAGTTGTTTCACCCATCAGCCGCCTGACAAGGGTGGGGTTTCATCTTCAATTCCATGAATGCTTAAGTCCTTGTAATGTAGCATCACATGTGTAGTTGTTCATAATGGCACGTCGGGCCCAGATAAAAGTAATTCAAACGTTGCAACCATGACAGATATACATTTCATTTCATAAGTTGTCTATATCAGAATGTCTTTTCATATAAATGTACGTGTTTACCCGTAAAACGGTACAGTAGAATTTATACGTGGTTTATAGACAAGTGAATTTATTCGATCCTGAAATAATAAAAGGATTGAAGAAATATAAAATACATAGCCTTGAGATGAAGATGAAACAGCAAAAATAGTAGTTCCGAGAGCAAGGCTTCCGGGAACAACAGTAATGAAATCAAACAATAAGAAGGTAAAATTGTATAAAGCTTTAAATAGATTATAGCATAAGTTTGCCAGAAAATTCCTCTCTTTACAATGATAATAGAGCTCACTATTTATAGTTGCACGTAGGGAACAAGGTCTTAGGATCATGCCCCTCTTTAATGTTAATTATGAGGGCCATTGAAGAATGTATAACGGCGGGCATGAATGACAAATTCTTTGTAACGGGCAGTATACTAAATGTTGTAGAATATTCTTCATTAAATGCTACCGGGTGGTAGGCATTTATTGCATCTTTATGAGCATCATTCTTTCCGGTAACAAATGGAACAATTATCTTCGGCTTCAGCTACCTTCTGCATTCGGCTCCATGTGTCACGTTCTTATGCAATTACTTAGCATAGCATATTTTACCCTATACAGATAGTCCCCTTCCTTTCTGGTGACATAACTTTGTGTCACCGAGAAGTTGGTAGAAATGTTCCTTATGGCGGGAATTTCACTGACCCCCTCTGAAAGACTTCTGATGGTTGATTAGACACACGTCTCTCCATATTTAATGCCCCGAACACGTGTCATCCCACGATTCAGCATAACATTTGCCGGTTATCGAGGTAATTATGGCCACGAGTTTAGCCGATTAAACATTTACTTATACACATCTACTTCCTTAATTTTACACTTCATAACACTCTGAATTTTCTGAGACTTTCTTTACTCAACTCACCTTCCGACTTCAACCTTTCCTCAACTTCCTTCTTTGAGAGAAAAAACTCTTTCACTGATAAGAAATGGCCTCCTCTTCAAGAAAACCTAGTTCTTCAAAGAACAAAGGCAAAACTGACGATGTCGTTGCCCCTACTGTGAGTACCATTGTCCAAAAAAGCCTGATTACCACCAAATATTTCGAAGATAAGTTTCCTTATGCTAACTCTCGTACATGGGCCGTTGGCAGAGACCCTTCTTCCATCCGTCCTTCCATTATTCCTGATGTGAAGGAAGATTGTCATTGCCAGGATTTAGACATTATCGCTCCTGATCTGGCGGAGTGGGTAACCCTACCTAAGGAGAGTTTTACATACTTTTATACGTATCCTTTCACTTTGGGGCCATTCTCTTTGAGCAGGGAGCTTGGTTCTGTTATTGTGGAATTTTGCATCCGCTACCAAGTGAGCCTGGCACAGGCAAGTCCTTCTGTGTGGAGGACAGTCGCTTGTCTTTGGCGTTTGTGCCAGGAGATGGGAGAGATCTAACCCTAGCTCGGTTAATGAATCTCTATTCCCCCAAGATTTTTCCAAGGGAATGATAAACTTCAGCAAACGTGGCTACCATGCCCTACTGGCCAGCATGGATGATGACAACGATCGTGGGTGGATGGATAGTTTGTTGCTGTTGTTACCAAGGACATCATCCCAACCACGGCGTCATCCTCTCCAGAGTTGTGGAACTGTGCTCGTAAGTCCATATTTTATCCCTTCTTCCAGTTAAAGATCATCCCATGTCGTTACTGATTCCTTCTCTCTTATTTGTTTGAGCCACTCGGTGGGTTCCACCGCGGGTTGAACTGGTCCAAAAGATTTTGGATGTCACTATGCCAGAAACTCGTACGTGGAAGGAATTAGCCCTTAAATACGGATGGAAGGCTAAAAATAATGGTAAGTAAAACCCATCTTGTTTTTCCCTTTCATGTAAGGAAGTTGTTTGCCCCTTTTTTCCTTTGTTGAATTCAGGTCTACCCTAGAGCTTAGTTGTTGTCCCTGAAGAGGACATTTTCGCTTATCCTACTGATACGGCGAGGATGCTGCAGAAAGCCTTTACACAAACAGGTGTTTCCAAGCCTACTTCTGGTGCAAGTGCTTCTTCTCGTCCCCGGCCAGAGATTAAGCAACAAAATAAGAGACGCTTATCCGCGACCGGGGGAACAAATAAAAGGCAAAGAGTGCAGCACCCGAATTTGTCACGGCCCAAACCGATGGGTCGCGACGGGCATCCGATACCTTACTCAACCGAGTACCAATATAATGTATCTTTTCGTATCATGCTATCATAGGTAAATGAGGCGGAAGAGCTGTCGTAGGATAGCTAGAACAAAATATGTAATACCAACTTATACATAAGACATACGGGCCTATAAGACCAAAATGATCACTCGTACACTAAACATAGGCCGATAAGGCCATACAATCTTTTACGTACATGACATATGTCTACAAGCCTCTAAGAGTAAATAAATACTATAAAGGTTAGGACAGGGCCCCAACATACTAAATAATACACGTCCAAATCATACTGACCAAATAAGCAACTCCGGAGCAAATGGAGCGTACCAACATCTTTCGCTGAGCTGATAGCCTATATGGAGGACTCTCGACCTGTCTATCGGGACCTGCGCGCATGAAACGCAACATCCCCAGGCAGAAGGGACGTTAGCACAAATAATGTACCGAGTATGTAAGGAAAGAAAATCAGTAAATAATAGACATGAGAGAAACATGGAGTAAAAGACTCGACATGTAAGTCTGAATAGCTTTGTGAATCCTTTAATACTTAAATGTTATGCATATGCGTATAAATGCCATACCATGCATGGGTATATGCGTTCATAACATCATCAAGCCTCTGAGGGCATCCCATCACATCATCTCGGCCGCTGTGGGCAAATCATTAACGTATACCAGCTGATCAGGTGGTGGTGCGTATATAACACCGTAACCTTTTCTCATATAATACGAAAAATAAACGTGCAAAAAATATGTTCTAAGTCAATGTTTCTACCCTTTCCTTTTTCGTTTCAAACTTCAAAGGATAACATGTCCTTTTTCATGCTTATTTATTCGGTTATACTATATTTTTTCATTACACAAAGGTGAATCCAAATTTTTAAGTTTATCCTATAAGTTTGTTGATTAGATTTCACTAATTTTAAAANCTCGACATGTAAGTCTGAATAGCTCTGTGAATCCTTTAATACTTAAATGTTATGCATATGCGTATAAATGCCATACCATGCATGGGTATATGCATTCATAACATCATCAAGCCTCTGGGCGCATCCCATGATATCATCTCGGCCACTGTGGTCAAATCATTAACGTATACCTGCTGATCAGGTGGTGGTGCGTATATAACGCCGTATCCTTTTCCCATATATATATATATATATATATATATATATATATATATATATATATATATATATATATATATATATATATGTACGCGTATATTACGCCATCTGATCATGGGTTAATGTACATGTATAAATGCATAAGAAATACGTTAATAAGATTTTCTCGGAATTCCATAAAAATCGATATGCCTTTCGGATAAACTTTATCAAATGTGTATTTTTCTGAGTTCCATGAACAGAAAATATAATAATAATTCACATGGGGAATCAAGAATATAGACACTTAGTATTTCTATAAATAGAGTCATTTATGAAAGTTGCGTATTTTGCTCGTTTCATTTGGATTATTTGGATCATGCCAAAAAGAAAGAAGGGATAGCCTTAACATACTTGAGCCGATTTTCTTGATAATCCCTCTAACACACATCAATTGCAACAACACGTAGCGGCGGATCGAAGTAGGAGAAAATCCGTATGATATCCTTGAGAAAGATTGCATCGTATTCCCTTAAAATTGCAAAATCTCACACTGCTATCACATTAAGGAGTTTCATGTAAATTCTTGTTTGAGACATCACCCGTTGCTTAGCAATATAAGACCATTATCAAAATCTTACTTAAAAGATGTATGGAAATCTTCTTATCTATGAGGTTTTGTGGGCCCCCACTTGGTATGATGATATGGCCAACAAAATCCTCTAAATAAGCCACCTAATCACATAAAATCAAGAGTCACCATTTGATTTATAAGTCTTTTTCTCTTGCTGCCATGTGGGGGGTGATGTCCCTACCTAATAATTATCCAACAAATTCTTAATTATCTTGCTAATCTCCCATTAAACCAATAATTACCTAATTATCCACATAATTAAGAATTATCTCAAATTATCCAAAATACTACTCACTT